TTGTTTGGATTCAGACCGACCTACACCTGTCTGGCCTCTCCCACGTTCTCCTTGTGTGTCTTTGGGCAAAGGCCTCCCTGAACTTTGGTCTCCCTCCTATAGAACTGGGAGGACCTAGGACCAAGACCTCAGCCCAGTGAGCACTTGCCAAGGGGTGGCAAAGAGCAAAATTGACACATACACGTTCACTTTTCTGGGTCCTAGCTCTGGGCAGATGCCTCCACCCAAGGAAAGGGAGGCAGGGGATCACGGGGCTGCCCACAGGGGCTGTCCGTGGGGGCCATCTGCAAGGGCTGGGAAACCTACTTTGTCTCTGCTGTCCTCATCTTGCCGGAAACAGTAGAGGCAGCTGGAAAAACACGCCCTCAAATAACGTCCTGATGGGAATTCTGGCTTCACAACTGTAGGGGTTAAGTTGGCCCCCCCAAGGTTCATATCCACCCAGAACTTCAGAAGGTGACCTTATTTGGAAATAGGGTCTTTGCAGATGTAATTAGTTAAGGATATTGAAGTGAGATCCTCCTGGACTTAGGGTAGGTCCTAAGTCCAGTGACTGGTGTCCTTAGTAGAATACACAAACACACAGAGAAGACGAACCTTGGAGATGGAGGCAGGGAGCAGGGTGATGGGGCTGTAAGCCAAAAGACTCATGGGTTGCCAGCAGCCATCACAAGCCAGGACAGATTCTCCCTCAGGACCATTGGTAGAAACCAAACCTCCTGTCTTTGTCTGTTGGGGCTGAGGTAACAAAAAAGCATAGATGGTGTGGCTTATAAAGAGCAGAAATGTATTTCTCATAGTTCTGGAGACTAGAAGTCCAAGGTCAAGGCTCTGATAGTCAGCGGCTGTATTCTCACCAGGTCTTCACATGGTGGACGGGTCTAGGGAGCTCTCTGGAGTTTCTCTTATAAGGGCACTAATCCCATTCATGAGAGCTTCACACTCATGACCTAATTACCTCCGAAAGGGCCCACTTCCTCATACCACTGTACTGAGGATTAGGTTTCAACATATGAATGTTAAGGGTGGGACACAAACATTCGGTCTATAGCACCTGCCAACACCTTGATTTTGGCCTTCTGGCCTTCACAACTATGACAGAATACATTTCTGTTGTTTTAAGACACCTAGTTTGCAGTAATTTGTTACAGTTCCTCCAGGAAGTTAACACGGCAGGAGTCTGAGACCAAACCTCCCCGTGCTGGCCCGTCTCTCGCCTCGTGGCCTGGCCCTCACCCTGAGGTCACTGCTCTGCTTCTGGGCTGCAAGGGCACTCTGCTGGCAGAGCTTCAGCAGGAAACCTGACTTCTGGGGAACTCTGTTGAGACCCTGGAATCCTAGCACTCAGCTGCAGCAAAAGGTACCCAGTGAAGAAAACAAATGTTGACAGGAACATTTTAAAAATAGCACAGTGACCAGGGAGGTGCTGCGAGAAGTAGAGGGTCCCTCTAATTCTTGAGCTGAGTGTGAGTTTCATTATTACTTCTGCTCTGGTTCTTTTCATGTGCATACTATATACTTTCTGTTACGCAGTAATAAAACCCAAACAAGCGAATAGCTCTGATCATCGCAGTATTCCTCTAATGTCTAAGAGCCCAAATAGAAAAGAACAACAAACAAACAAATGGGATAGCATGTGGGAAAAGGCCTGATCTCAATCTGATGATGCCCTCTACCTGGCGCCAATAACGGGAAATAGCCAACAACTGAATCTTGAGACGGCTTCCCAAATTTAACATCTGACTTCTCTCGATCTCACCTGACACCCTCATTCTTTTGCTGAATCCAAGTGGGAAAAAAAAGCATTAGCAACAGCTAAATAGTTCTTCCAGCCAACGTTCTTGTCAAGGTACCTCGTGCCAACATCTCAGGACGTGTTCTCCTGGGACTCTGGGCGACGCCCCACCAAGCCCAAAGTTTCCCTCAGAGCTTTGCAGAGGAGGAACTCGAATATTTCTTGGACTGAACTTTAGTCTAATTGTGGGAAAGAAACAGAAATCTAATGTTTAATTACCACCACATGGGCCAGAATCCCTAAGAGACGGACAGGAAGCAGGGAAGTGATATTCAAAAGGATCTCTTGGGCTGTTTTTTACCTATCAGATTGTAGAGATCAGAATACTTCATTTAAAAAAATATCTTGGCTGTTGGAGAAGGAAACAGGCATTCCAACTTCAGAGCTGAGAGACTGCTGACCACAGAACTGGAGGAACATTAACCTTTTTAATGGACACGTCCTTTGGCCTGGCCACTCCCAGGAAGTTGTTGCCTTGGATGTAAACTCCATGAAGTCAGGGAGGTTTCAAAGTGCCTGCACCCACGCGTTCACTATATATTCGCTCATGCATGAGTCTACCTGCTCAGTGCAGCTCAGTTTGTAAAAGAAAATATGAGTGACAACTTCGTAAGAGACTGTGTGTAAATCAACATACCCGGTTTGATAAAATCTGATGCAAATTTCCCAGTGGTTTAAAAAGGACAGGGGATATACTCCCTCTCCCCTCCATCCCCCACACATAGACTATCTCTGGAAGGAAACAGAAGAAATTAACCATGGTGCCTCTGAAAGGGAATGGGGTGCAGGTATGGGAACATCTGCCTATTTTACTATATGCCTTTTACAACTGTCTTTTTTTTTTTTTAACCATGTATATCAATTACCTTCTCAGTTTGTATACAAGTTTATATATTTGCATATATATAAAATATATGTATATATAAAATATGTATACAGTATATGTATATATAAATGTGTGTGTGTTATATATATGTCTGTGTATAACATTTACATATACGCATACAAATACACACACACATTTTTAAGTGACTCTATGAATCTGGACAGAAAACCCCAATGGCTTCAGTTTCCATAGGAGAGGCTGAAAGTGACATGACCCTCCAGCACATTCCAGCATCACCCTCACAGGCAGAGATACGGGGTGGCAGTGGTGGTGAGGTGGTCTTGTAAGAGGCATTATCCAATGGGTGTCCAACCTGTGGCCTGCGGGCCACACGCAGCCCAAGATGGCTCTGAATGTGGCCCAACACAAAATTGTAAATTTACTTAAAACCTTTTTTGTTGCTCATCAGTTTTCATTAGTGTTTATTTAATGTGTGACCTGACAACTCTTCTTCTGCCAGTGTGGCCTAGAGATACCAGAAGCTCGGACACCCCTGCCAGGAAAGGGCACGTTATTGCTTTTTCTTTTTTAAAAAAAGATTTTATGTATTTATTTTTAGAGAGAGGAAAAGGTAGGCAGAAAGAGAGGAAGAGAAACATAAATCGGTTATCTCTCACACGCCCTGAACTGGGGACCTGGCCCACAACTCAGCCACATGCCCTAACAGAACCGAACCGGTGACTTTTTGGTTTGCAGGCTGGCACTCAATCCACTGAGCCACACCAGCCAGGGTACATTATTGCTTTTTTAACAACAGAGCCACTGGTCTCCTTCTGTGCTGCACACTTGCAAATCATACTCCACAGATTGAAAAGTTTCAGAAAAATTATCCCCAACACCACACCAGGCTCCAGTTTTGCAGTTTAGCTCTAAGTGTCTGTAACATTAACTCCCTTACTCTGAAAGTTTTTCCTTACTCTGCATTCATAAACTGTAAGAGTCCAGGGACCTCCCATGGGTCAGCAAGGAGCCTCAGTCCGCAAGAGTGGGGACCAGAGGCCCTGCATCTACCTTCTAAATGACCCTGCTAGGGGCAGCACCCCAAGTGTTGAAGCCCTGCTCCCCCAGCATCCCCATTCCCACTCCCATCCCAGGGCTCAGAGACTAGTGCTCCAGCAGCAACCAGGGGCTGCCCTTCCAGCTCAGTCTTTCCTGACCCAGTCAAAGTCATGATGCCTGGAGAACAGCTGCAGGGAGGGTGGGGGGTCCCTTCCCCTGCCAAACCTTCAGAGGTAAACACAACAGATGGGTAAAAATGGAGATGGTTCACAGAGAAGGATCAGTAATGCTTATGTAGAGGTGAGTTCTGTCTCCTCAATTCAGGTCACCCTAGGTTTGTTAAATTTAAATTAAAATGGAGATAATTCTGGTTTTGTCTGGGACGGGATTATTCTAAGCCCAGAAATCACTTTATAGACTATCATAAATGAAAAGATAACATGCAGATGGGCTTTTCTTGGGGGTTGTTGTGCAGTGATCCTGAGATAGCGGAGTTTGGAATGTTGGAGGGCCTGGGGGGGCTGCGGAGGGTTACAGAGGGGCATAAGCACAGGGGCATATGGAAGTACCAGCAGGTGCACTGACTGGGGGTATGTGAACGACTGGAGTGCTGGTAGCGGCATTGGGCAGGTGGTGGCAGTGGGGAGTACCTGAGGGCCCTGACCCAAGCTGCCGAAGGAGAGAGCACAGAGAGGGGCACAGACCTGGATGTCAGTAAAGTCAGTGGAGGGATACCAACAAACCCAGATGTGAGTGGAGGGCCGCGAGTTTGGGGTCGCAGGCTCAGGTGTTGGTGTGGGAGTGCAGGCCCAGTTGTGGAGGCGGGGTGGGGTGAGATGAAGGGGGAGACAGCTCAGGATGTGGGGTATCATCAAGAGGGACAGTGTCAGGAAGTGTGTGGGAGGGGTGCATGAGTGGGAGCGCTGTGTCAGGGGTGTGAGGGGGACCATAAGTGGGGACACTGACTCAGTTGCGTGCAGGGGTGCAGACTCAACTGTGCAGGGTGCCTAAGAATGTGGCCGCGGAGTATGTCAGCAAGGAGGATAGTCTCAAGTGTGTGAGAACGGACGCGGTGTCAGGTGCGCCTGGGCTGACGGTGAGGGGCTCAGAACCGGCTATGGGGGCTTCCAGGGGACACCAGACGCGGAGAGTGTGGGGGGGGCTTTGTCCTCTCCCTGCCCCCCGCGACGCTGCTGTGATGTCCCTTCCCGTCCACCCCCGCCCCAGGACTATGACAGGGCCGTGCCTCGCCCTGGCTCGGTCCGAGGGGCACTGACCCCCCAACGCCTGCGCCACCCCGCGCCCCCCGCGCTTGCTCACCGGCTGGGACTTGTCGCCGTCACTGCCACCGCCACCTCCTCCAGCCGCCAGGGCCCCGCCTCGAGCACCCCCCAGAGCGCGCCACGGGAGGGGTCCATGACGCCCTCCTATTGGCTGAGCAATGACCAGTCAGTGTTGCAGATGGCAATGATTGGTGGACATAAAGCAGACAGGCAGCCCCTAAAGCCAATCGCTGAGGGGTAGAGGCGGGGCTGTTGGGAGAGACTTTGGGCCCCTGGGGTGGTCCCGCCTGGTGCGAGGTGCTGGGAGGTGAGGGTCTGGAGGCAAGCGAACACTGGCAGAAGACAGGCATCCCTGACAACCAATCGCTGGAGAACTAGAGCGGGGCTCTGAGGTGGCTGGAGCGACTGGTGTGAGTAAAACGGAGGGAGTAGCCCGGAGGGCGAAGAGGACTGGCTGCGAAGCCGAAGACAGGCAGGCCCAGCGGCCAGTTGCAGGGGCTGTGGGCGGTGCGCCAGGGGCGGGGCTCGAGTGTGCAAGGTGCAGCGTTTGGCCAAGCATGGCGGCCAGAGGTGCCCTCGACACCCTGCGTGAGGTCCCCTGAGGTTGTGTAGAGTGAACTTGAGCTATCACAGCCGAAGAACTCGTGGATAATGCTCCATCCTCTCACTCCCCGCTATTCCCCTGCAAACAACGTGGAGAGGACGAATTCACTGGAGGTCACTCAGGCTCGCCTCTGCAGCTCTGGGTTGGTGTGAAGACATTGAAAGAAGTGGAATCCTACTTACGCATTTTGTGATTTTTCTGGAAGTGTTTGACTTCTCAGAGTTCAAGCTTTCTGTTCTGCGACCTAATTACATTCCTGTCTGGCCTCTTTTCTGATAAGCCTTTTGTGAACTGTAACACTTTCTTTAATCTTAACCATAATCACAGGAGTTCAAAGGGACCTTTGGACCCCTTTTACAGAAACAAGCACAGAGAGGTCAAGTTCCTTGCCCGACATCACAAAGCACTTCAGTGGCTGGATAGGGGTGTGCATCTAGAGCAGTCTGCTTTTTGGAAGTGGGTAAGGCAAGTGTCAAAGAATAGCCACTGGGGGCCTAAGAGACTTGGGTTCCAATTCCTGTTCAACCACTGACCCACCGCACAACCCTGGGCATGCTGAGCCTCAGTTTCCTCGTAAGACAGTGATTCCTATACCTGGAGAATTTACATCTCAGCCTTTGCCTTCACCTTTTGGTGAAGGCGTTTGACTCACAGCAGGTCACATCAGGTCTGTGAGCCTCAGCTGCTCTGAGGTGTGGTTCATGGAATTCTTTGCAGGCAGACATCAGCAGTTTAGGGAGCCATCTGTCATCTAGTGCTCTGCTGTCACTGGCACCCCGTCCCTACCTTCAAGCCCACCCTGTTCTTTGGCTCCCTTAATCTCCCAGGCAGAGAGAGTTACAAATGTTCACAGTTACTGGCTCTTATTACTTTAGGTGCAGGCTTGGAGTTGGTGGAGATCCAGTTCAGAACCAGGGAGTTCTGGGAGGGAGCAAGCCTGAGCTAAGTATTAATAAGGGTTCACATTTCAGGACTGTACTAGCTCCTGGTAAGTGATTAATCCATGACGTTTCAAAGGGCCCTCTTGGAGGAAACAACTGGGGCTCATACCACGAGAGTCACTAGGGCACGGCCACCATCTGACTCCTGATATTCCCATGATATTCCTGCCTCCTCTACCATGACTCTTAGCATTTTTCTTCCCTGAAACTTCAAGGCCCTGGTCTCCATGTTGCCCTCCGGGGGAGAGGAGGAACCAGAGTCTGCCAAATACCTACTGAAGTGTCCGTTCCTTGCCAGGCCTGGTGCTTCCCAAACACCACGTCATCATGTGACTTCCAGAGGGGAGTGACAGTGCTCACTTTGCAGATGAGAAAACCTAGCCTCATGTGACTTGTGTTCCTTCCTGGAAAAGCCAAGGGCTAGGTTTGAATCCCTGCTCCTTTTGACTTGCTGGCCGCAGGGCCTTTAGCAAAGGACTCAAACTCCCTGCCTCAGTTTCTCCAACTACCTCCTAAGGTTAATGGCAGCATTAATGAATTGAATGGAAGTAAAACTCAAACTGTATTGGTCTGCAGCAAGCACTCACAAGTGTCTGATGGACAAATTGTTCTTGGAGCCTTTTTGTAAATAGCACCTTATGGAATGTGGACAGAGACCAACTATGGGTGTGGCCTGTCATCCGAAGAGGGAGATACTAATGCCAGAGTAGGCCCCACTCACAGCACCTGCCAGGCCCTGAGGTGGAAGCAGCAAGCTCCAGGAAAGTCCCACAGTATCCCAGGGACAGTGCCAACTGAGGCATGGGTTGGGCAGAGGCCTAGCACCCAGCTGCCTCTCCTGATGGTGCCAGAAAAACTGGCTGGGTTCTGGCTTCTGTATGCTTATCAGCAGACTGGCGCCAGCCAACCTTCCTATAGCCTTCCAACAACGTCAGGCAAAGCCCTTTGGCATCAGCAACTGACAGCCCCACTATGGGCAACCTGGATGTGCCTGGCTAGGTGCGCAGGATCCTAGCTCTTCTGAGCTGGCCTGGCTGGCCCTGGGCAGGAAACTGCCTCTTTGCCCCCTAGTTTCTTCTACCTTTCTGGGTTCCCAGGAATTATCTCAGAAAATAGCAATGAGCCAGGCCTAGGCACAGTGACAGGGCTTCAATCAATCAAGACCAGAAAGTCATTTGCCCAAGGTAAGATTAGCAATGTTGGCAACAGAGGAGAGGGCAGAGGCAGACTGAGCTGGGTTCAAATCCTGCTGCAGCACCCCCAAATGCCAGTGAGTCTATTTCTCTTCTGGATGATGAGGTTCGCAGGCCTTGTCTATCAGAGATATGTTTGTAGCCACAGAGCCTAGGCCCTTCCCTGGCTGGAGGGACATGTCCTAGACCCAACAGTGACTATAGCCAAGCCCAAATGGTCTCAAGACATTCTCACCCAGTCTCCCAGAGGTTCTGAGAGGCCTGGCCACTCATCCGAGAGTACCTAGCAACAGAGGCACAGCCTGAATGTGCTGGCACCTTCCTTGCAGTGGTATCCCTCTCAGCCCACGTTTTGATGTCATCGACAATGCTGGCGAGAGCTCCTTAGCGGGGTACTGTGCTAGGCATACCCCCAGCCAGGCCTTGCAAGGAGCTATGGCCCAGTGCAGTGCCACACACTTAGCCCATTTTCAGGTGAGGAGGCCAAGGCTAACCTGAGGTGGCAGAGCAGTGACTGGAATCCGGACATGGCTGACTTCTGTAAAATGTAGGGTATTCAGCTGGGCATAGGATACCCAGCCTGGGTACATCCAAATAGGCCCTGAGCACACCCACTAAGGCTGCCCATTTCCTCAGGCTAAGGTGGGAAAAACTGATAAACGGGAGCCACCCTCCCTGAAGCCTGCAGCTGTAGGAAGGCTGGCCAAGAGCCCAGGGGAGAGCCCTGGGCTGTGGAGGAGGCCTTCTCTCCAACTACCCTGCGTACATATTAATTTACTCAGGTATACACTCAGAAATGTTTAAAGGAAGCTGGAGCAGAATGGGGAGAGAGGAGCCTACCCACATGGAATGGGAGGCAGGCAAACAGGAAAACATACAAACAAAGGGACCTGAGATGGTGCCAGAGGTCAGAGGCATAGCATGACGGGTGATGGGAATGGCCCTGGGGAAGGGAAAGGGCAGAGGGAAGGGTACTCCAGAGGGCACAGAATGTGCAAAGGTCCTGAGGTGGGGAGGCTGGAGTAACTGGAATTATGGTTAAAGGAGAACATGGGGAAGATGAGGGTGGGGAATGGGCAGGGCCTGAAGTAGTCTGTTTTTTTTGGGAAGAGTAATGGGGAACCATGGGCGGACTGAGAGCGGAGCTGGGACAGGAATCACGGGACAGCACTTCAGGCTTCCTCAGAAACTGCCTGCAGCATCCATGCCCCCATGTGACAGATGAAGAAACATGAAGATCACAGGGCCTGAGGACTGCCTCAAGGTCACAGAACTGTTCTAAGGTTACATATATTGCTGACCCAGAAGTCAAAGTCAGGACAGCCTGGAGCAGGCAAGGGATCCTTCTGCACCCTGGCCAAGTCCCTGGTGATGGGGGTCAGGGCAGAGTGACTGGGGCAGAGGGTCATGTCATCCCCACTGAGCTGGCAGAACACGCCCAGCTGGGGACAGGGGAGACATGACATGGACACAAGGACACAATAGAGAGGTGGGGCCAGGGTGATGCTCCCGTAGCTATTTGTATTACCCAATATCCATGGAAACCAGGAACCTTCTGGGAAAAAGTCTTGAGTTGACATGAAGAGTGAAACTGGGGCTCTTCTCAGGCTAGGGAAGGTACGTGACCAGCAGAGGGGCAGGGATTCAGAGAGAAAAGAGGGGCCAGACACAATGTCTGGAGCCCACCAGGGGTCTTGAGGCTGCTCTGACCCTGACTAGACCATGTGGAATGCATAAGCTGCCAGGTGACCACAAGAGGACCCCTGAGTGACTGCAGAGGAGGAGAGCTGGTTCTGCCAGGCACAGCTGTCTGGGGACCCCAAGAACACTTAGGAGGTAGAGTGGGCATCAGGGGTAGCAACAGTGATGTCCATCGTACAGATGGGGAAACTGAGGTTCAGAGAGAGAAGGCAGGCTGCCCAAGCCACCCAGCAAGCAAGGACCTCAATGTGGTCAGGAGGGAGAGTGCAAGGTCCTCTTGGGGTGACCAAGGTGAAGCTAAGACAACCTGGCATCTTCCATGTCCTAGCTCTGCTCTAGCGCTGTATGGGGCTTTCTATCTGTCCCCCCACTCCTTGTTTTACAGAGGATCAAATGTAAGCTCCGAGAGATTAAGCCACTTATAGAAGGCCACATAGCTGAGTGGGGGCTGGATGCTGAACTCCCCAGCTCCCCAGGGCGATGCATGCTCAGGACAAGTAGCAACCTTGGTGCTCGCAGACCCAAGACTCATGCCAACCCTGGCCCCAGCAACCTGTCTGACAGCAACATCAGTTCCTATATCCCAGGCTGTTCTCAAAACCTCTCCACTTTCTTCAGACTCCATGGCCTACCCAAACATCTACTCCCCCTATTCTCTGA